TAAGGGGTCATATACCCAATTGCCAGATATGTCTTTTAAAGATTCAATAACATTTTTATTCCTTCTAAAAATAACAGCTTTATGAAAAAAATTTATGTTTCTATCACCTAACTTAATCCAATTAGATCTATAATGATGAAACCAGTAAACTTCTTCTTGGTCCAAAATTTGTTGGTATTCAGACCAAAGAATTTTCATAAGATTACATAGAAAAGGATTTTCCATAGAGCCTAGTAATAATACACTTTTTCTTAATAAAGGAATAATTATCTACATGGAAAGATGTAATAATATTAATAACACGTGTCATTTTCTTGTCACGTCGTACATGATAGGTATAACCACACTTCTAATTCGAAGAAACCAAAGAATTTACCATTTTTTTGGTATTGGTCTTTTATTAATAAAATTGTTAGATAGAAATTCACGTGTTACATGGGACATTTAATTCTTCAAGGAAAATTTTATAACTAAAATCTTAAAAAAAAAGAAATAAAAAAAACAAAACTATGTTAAAATAGAATATGATAATTTAGGAGTCATTCTCAGATCGTGTAGCTAATTCAATTTGTTATATTTTCGTGAATTATTGGATGAAATTTTGAGTAAGAAACGTAATTTAGCATAATATTTTGAATAATTGTTTTTATAGAATAACATTTACTGGTTATTTTTCATTTAAGGTAAACAAGTTTTATATCAATATAAATTTGCAAACTTTTATACGTGCAAGGGCCTGCATTGATATTCAGAATACTTTCTTAGGATAATGAATTGATTTACCAAATTATTGGGCTCGAATCCATGCCTACAACGTTACCGAGCAGAGACAACAAGTTGCATAGAAGAAATTTGCATAGAGAAAACAGAAAAGAAATGTGGTTGCTATGGCCTGCGAAGGGAAACGTGTAATTCAAGAGCTGGAATTACATGGTGACATTTGTGAAAGCTAATAAATTCATTACCATTCACTTTGTTAGCAACAATCATGCTGACTATTTATTGTTAACAACCAACACGTATATATATAGGGGTCCTTGAGGAATGGTTGTTTTACTAGGTGTATTAGATAAAGATCAACTCGGTCTCACTTGTAGGAAAAGAAAACCGAGTACTTATTTGGCATAATAGGCCGGATACCCCTCGTCAAAATTAAAAGGTAATTAACCCAATTAAGGGTAATAATCAAAATATTATTTAAATCAGGAAAATGGGTCAAAGTATAAAGGCTGACTATACAATGCCTATAAAAGGAAGGTAGGAAATACAGTAAGGGGTTGACTTCTCATTATTAAATAGCATTTATTGGTCAGAACCGAATCCTGACTTCAGCATCGGAGTGCCTTTTGCAGGTACCCTTCCACATCAGCAGCAGTTAGAGAAACGTCAGTACGTCAAAGTAGAGACTTGAAGACCCATGTTATCCTAACAGGAACATTTTGGCGCCCACCGTGGGGCACAATTAGCCTCATTTTTCAGAATTAAACATGGTACTAACGAGAAGCCAGTAGGAAGGAACCTCTCAACAACAAATGGAGGGTGTCACACCAGAGGAACCAATACCTGAAGTGGTGATGCAAGGAGGAACAGATGAGAGCATTTTAGCTGTACTGAGGCAGCTTAAGGCAGAAATGACGGAAATGAAGAAGGAGCGAGAGAAGGATGCATTGGAGCTTTCGGCTCTAAGAAGGGAAAATGCTAACCTAAGTGAAGAGATAAGGACACACATCCCCTCCCAAACTACACCCATCATCTGGGATCAGAAGGAGTCCTCGGCGTTGCAAGAAAAGTTAAAACAAGTTTATCAATCGGTAGCCAAAAATGACCGAGATGATCTAGTGAACCGAAGCCCATTCGTTCACCATATTCTGGATGTCTTTATAACCCAAGTCGGTCTGTACACAGAAAATGATACTTTATGGTGTAGAATTTTTCCCACTTCACTCTGAGGACCTGCACTCAGTTAGTTCACCCGACTCCCCCTTTATCCATCGACTCTTTTGCAACTCTCACAAGACGTTTCAACTTGCAGTTTGCCACAAGCCGACCTCATCCCTTAACATCCCTGGCCCTAGTCAATATTCGCCAAGAAAAGGGAGAACCACTTAGAACATTCATGGAATGCTTTGGCAAAGTGACTCTTTCAATCCATAACTTGGAACCAACAGTGGCTATGCACCACCTCACAACAACCTTAAAGTCAGGACCTTTTGTTAATAGCATCTGCAAAAAAAACCCCCGTGGACCTAGACGAGTTAAGGAGTCGGGCTGCAAAGTATATGCAGATGGAAGAATTATCTAAATACCGAAACCAGGTACGAATAGACCAAGGGTCCAATTCAAAAAATACAGATAGGAGAGAAGCTTTCAAGGCTAGGCAGGGAAACGAGAGAAGAAATGAACTTGAAAGGCCGCCCTAGGGACCTAAGTATCCTTCTTACACTACGTTCAACACTAACCGGTCCAGAATACTTGATCAGGCGTTGGCCACAGAAATATTGAGAATGCCTAGACGCGCCAACACTCCTCCTCGGGCAGATAAAAGTAAGTCTTGCCGATACCATCAGAATAGGGGTCACACTACCGAGGAGTGCAGCGCGCTGAAAGACAAAATTGAAGAATTAATCAAGGAAGGACATTTAAAAGATTTTGTACAGACAAATTCCATGGGGCAACCTAACAGAGGAAGAGACCGTTACCCTGAACCACCAAAGAGGTTTGACGACAAAAAATTTGAACGACACAGGAGCAGGTCTAGGGAACCCCCAACTAGAAGATATGATGAGCGAGAGAAGTATCCCAAAAGGGTCATTAACACCATAGCTAGAGGGTTTACCGGTGGAGGACCTACCCATTCGGCCAGAAAGAGGCATCTCAAACATGTCCGTTCTGTTAATAATGTTTCATTGGGCAACAGAATCTGGATCCCGCCTATTACATTCACTGACAATGACTTTCAAGGAGTCGATCCGGGGCAGGATGATCTCATGGTCATTAGTGTAGACATTCTTAATTGCACTGTTCGAAAAACACTAATTGACCAAAGGAGCTCGGCTGACATCTTGTATTGGAATACATTTAAGCAATTAGGCATCTCTGAAGAAGAGATCAGAGAATATAACGAACCATTGGTCAGTTTTTCTGGGGAACGAGTGGAGCCTAGGGGATGTATTGACTTGTATACCTCGTTTGGATCAGAACATGAGGGAAAATGTATAAAAATTACTTATCTTGTAGTACATGCGAACACCTCCTATAATATACTACTCGGCAAACCATCCCTGAATAAATTGAAGGCCATAGTATCCACTCCGCACTTGGCCATGAAGTTTCCATCTGAAAGAGGCTGAATTGTTACAGTCCATACTGATCAGAAAACAGCCAGAGAATGCTACTTCGCAAGCTTACATCTTAGACCCTTTCATGGGAATAGCCGAGATGTCAATATTGTATCTCCTCGGTTGGGAGAGGACTTAGATGTTGAACTTGATCCAAGAATGGATGAGGGATATCGGGTTGAGCCTGAAAACAAGCAACCTTTCCAACTTGGAGCAAAACTAGAACAAGTTGCTTATTTAGGGATCGGTTTGAATGCACAAAAAAAGCAAATTTTTCAGGAAATGCTGCTGAATAACGCTGATTTGTTTGCGTGGACAGCCTCGGACATGCCTGGCATCGATTCGACATTTCTTTATCACCACTTATTGGTCTACAAGGGGGCCAAACCGATAGCTCAAAAGAAGAGAAAAATTGGTGGCGATAGAGCAAAGGCAGTAGAAGAAGAAACCGGCAAGCTACTATAGGCTGGCTTTATCCGAGAAGTTAGGTATTCAACATGGTTAGCCAACGTCGTCATGGCTAAAAAAGCCAACGGCAAATGGCGAATGTGCACGGACTTCACGGACCTGAACAAAGCATGCCCAAAGAATGCATACCCCCGACCAAACATTGATACCCAGGTCGATGGTGCAGCCGGTCACAGAATACTGAGTTTTTTGGATGCTTATTCTGGATATAATCAAATACGAATGTATCCCTCGGATGAGGAGAAAACGACATTCATCACAAATTCAGCAAATTTTTGTTACCGAGTGATGCCGTTCGGTTTGAAGAATGCAGGGGCAACATACCAGCGACTAATGAACAAAATTTTCGAGAAGCAAGTGGGTAAATGCATGGAGGTGTATGTGGATGACATGGTGATTAAATCCCTCGCATTGAAGCAACATCTTGACCACTTGGAGGAGGTATTCGGCGAAGCCAGGAAGCATGATATGAGGTTCAATCCTGAAAAATGCACATTTGGTGTAGCTGGCGGTAAATTCTTGGGTTTCATGTTGTCCGAAAGGGGGATTGAGGCAAACCCCGATAAATGTAAACCCATCATCGGCATAGCTAGCCCTCGGAATGTCAAGGATGTTCAACGACTAGCCGGGCGGATTGCAGCCCTCGCTAGATTCTTGCCAAAAATGGCAGAAAGGTCTCGGCCTTTCATTGAATTATTGAAGAAATCCCAAAAATTCGCTTGGTCCAACAAATATGAGGACGCCTTCGTCCAATACAAACATGTGCTAGCAGCGCTGCCTGTGTTAACAAAACCAAAAACTGATCAGGAAATGATTGTTTATTTGGCCGTGTCCTATAACGCCATCAGTTCGGTTTTACTTCATGAAACACCTGAACCGGCTCCCGTATATTTCGTCAGCAGAACACTCCAAGGTCCTGAATTCCGGTATCAATTAATGGAGAAAGTGGTACTTGCCCTAGTCCACACAGCTCGTCGGTTAAGACACTACTTTCAGAGTCATCAGATGGTCATACGTACAGATTGTCCAATGGCCAAAATTTTGAGGAAGCCAGAATTGGCTGGTCGGTTAGTAGCATGGACAATTGAACTATCTCAATTTGACATTCATTTTGAGAAATGACGCCCCCTTAAAGCTCAGGTGTTAGCCGACTTCGTCAATGAATTCACCGTACAACGATACACTACCTCGGACATGTGGAATCTGCACGTCAACGGATCATCAAATCGACTGGGTAGTGGAGCTAGGGTCATACTCGAAGGGCCGAACGCATTCGCCATTGAGCAATCCATTCGGTTTGGATTTAGGGCATCTAACAACCAAGCAGAATATGAGGCTTTACTTGCCGGTCTTAGACTAGCAAAGGAGATTAGAGTTAAACGCATTACCAGTTGGAGTGATTCAAAAATTGTGGCCGAACAGGTTAATGATACATATCAGGTTAGGGACCCGGTTATGCTTAAATATTACCAAGAATTCAAGAAAATAAAAAATGAATTTGACGAGGTATGTGTTCGGCACACGCCAAGAAACATGAACGAACGGGCCGACAGGCTTGCTAGGCTGGCTAGCCAAAGGAAACCAGGGCAGTTGCACAACATGGTTCGTCAAGAAATCCTCCAACCTAGCATCACCAAACAAGAATTCATGGACGTAGAAAATTCATCTCATAATTGGATGACCCCACTCTTCGGGTATATCATCGATGGCAGCTTACCAGAGGATACAACTTCAGCTATTAAAATAAAAATGCACACAGCTAAGTACCTTCTTCTCGGCAAGCACTTGTACAGGAGAGGAATTTCAACTCTTATGCTTAAATGCCTAAACCACGACCAAGCTAACTACGTCATGAGGGAAATCTATGAAGGAATTTGTGGTACCCATTCAGGCAGAAGAACTATGGCAGCAAAAATACTCAAAGCCGGATATTACTGGCCAACACTCACTCAAGATTGCCATTTGTTTGTGAAGAAATGCATTCCCTGTCAACAACACGGTCCTCACATACACCAACATGCCGATACCTTTCGCCCTATTAACTCTCCTTGGCCTTTTGCCATATGGGGAATGGACCTCCTCGGCCCTTTCCCTTTAGCAAAAGGGCAATGTAAATTTCTCCTTGTTGCTGTGGATTACTTCACCAAATGGATAGAAGCCAAACCCCTTGCCACCATCACGGCCAACAATATCGGTGATTCAATGAGTTCTTGGAAGGCCTGCATATCAAACACAGAGTTACATCTGTTGAACACCCTCAGACTAATGGCCAGACTGAGGCTACAAACAAGGTGATCTTACATGAATTAAAAAAGAGATTGGGTTCGGCAAAGGGAGAATGGGCAGAGAAACTGCCCGAAATATTATGGGCTTATTGGTGCACGCTGCAAACCACAACAAAGGAAACTCCTTTTTGGCTTACCTATGGTACTGATGCCATGGTGCCAGTAGAGATTGGAGAACCTTCATTTCGGAGGAAGAATTTTGAGGAATCGGCTAATGAAGAAGCATTGGCCATCAACCTCGACTTAATAGATGAGATACATGACCAAGCTGCCATTATGACTGAGGCTAGCAGAAGAATGATGGCTAGAAAATTCAACTCCAAAATCAATCCACGCCAATTTTACGAAAATGACCTAGTCTAGCAAGTAGCCGGAGATGCACGCCGGGATCGACGAGAAGGGAAGCTGGCAGCCAACTGGGAAGGCCCCTTTCGGGTAGCGGCAAGATTAGACAACGGAGCATACAAGTTAGAAACGTTGGAAGGAAAACTAATACCGAGGACCTAGAATGTTACACATTTGAAACATTATTACAGTTAAAAGCTTTGTAATCTGTTATCAGTGTACTCTTTTCCTCTCCCAAGTTTTGTCCTCTTGAAAAAAAAAAAAAGGTTTTACTGGGAAGGTTTTTAACGAGGCGCCTTATCAATAAAATACTTCTCTTCAACTATACGGTCTCCTATGCATCAGGGTTATTTTTCAAGCACTTGAATTAATTATTTCCCTCCCGAGTACCCCTACTCGGCTAAGGACAAATTATCATTTAAAATTCCCTCCCATGTATCGCTTGGCCAAGGTTGAATTAATTATTTCCCTCCCGAGTACCCCTACTCAGCTAAGGACGAATTATCATTATTAAAATTCCCTCCCAAGTATCGCTTGGCCAAGGTTGAATTAATGATTTCCCTCCCAAGTACCCCTACTCAGCTAAGGATGAATTATTAAAGTTCCCTCCCAAGTATTTCTACTTGGCTAAGGTTGAATTAAATAAATCCCTCTTGAGTACCCACTCGGTCAAGGTTGAATCACCATTAAACTTAAATATTTTTTAATTCGCTAAAGATGAGTTAGTTTAATTCCCTCCTATGTACCCTACTCGGCTAAAGATGAATTAATTAAGCATATCGTATGTTAGTACGAGTTATATGACCAAGTTCTCAATACAAGGCATAAGAGAAGGAGAAACAAAAAAGAAATTCTATTTCAAAGTTACTAATTACAAAATTAGGGCACTAATGACCCATGAATACAAAAGAAAACTAATCTAACTTTCTTCCCTTTCCTCGGCATCAGGACCGGCTACCTCGGATTAGCAGCATCTTCAACGATTCGTCTAGGGGCTTCGGCGTCAGGCTTCACATCATCATCAGCTTCATTATAAGGAATAAACTTGCCACCGAAGAAGTCCTTTGTGATGTCAAAATGGAAATCAGCCGGAACCTGGCAGAATCCATGACATTGGCGAATAGCATGGTTAAAATCGGCTTCATGTTCGTAAGATACTTGCTGAGAACACTTCTCGGCAAAGGTTCTTATCTCAGTTTTAGCTTTTTGCTTTTCCAGTGCCAAGGCTTCTTCCATCTCAGTAGATTTGGCCTGTAGGGCCTCCTCCATTTGACAGGACTTCACTCTTAACGCCTCCATTTCCTCCCCCTTTACCCTCACTGCCTCCTCGGCAGCTTGCACCCGGTCTTCCATTATCCGGAAGTGCTCTTTATATTGATTAACTTGACCTTGCAGGGATTGAACGGTCTCATCCAGACTGGCTTGAATTTCTCTACTCTTTGCCAAAGCTTCCTCAGAAACCGAATAGGCAGTTTTTAACTTCTTAACTTCAATGATTGGATCCACAACTAGCCTTCAGAGCATCGTTGTTGACCGTACATGAAGTTCTGCGTAGTAGCGCCAGAGTGATTCATATTCCAAGCTATCGACCAATTCTTTCCCCACATCAGATAACAAGTTGGGAGCTGCTAGTCATCCGGTATGTGTCTCGGTTGCCAGGAAGCCCTCGGCAAGCATGTCCAAAGGAATTAAAGGGGTGGAGGAACTGCTTCCTTCCTCGGTACCCACCACTCGGGTTTACTTGCGAGCCCCCTGTACGCCACTAGGCCCACCCGAATGGGCATGCCTTCTCTTTCTCTCCCTATCGGGTTCCTTGCCTTTGCCCTTGTCCTTGCATTTCTTAGAAGGGCCTTCAGCCGGAATAACATCTCGGGGACGAGGACGAGGCTCTGGTACTTCAGGAAGTTGATCAATTTGAGGATGACGATGTTCCTCAATGGGCGTCCCCTCCGACATTCTTTGCTTCAGATTACGACGGAAAGTCAGCACATCAACACCTCGCTGAACCATTAAGCCTGCAATAAAAATAGCAAGTCAAATCAATACAACTCAATTCCAAATACAAGTTAAAAACAAGACGACACATACCCTCCATATCCCAGCGAGGACGCGGAGACTTGAGCACGAGGATTACATGTCGGGCAGGTAGGTCTCGGGGAAAGGACTTCAAAAATTGTAAATCCGATAACTCCCTAGCTGATAACATGTCCTCAGGGAATACGTCGTATCGGCGCGACACCCGAGTCCAGTGAAAAGGGAAGAGAGGATTATTCTCGCTATCAAAAAAATAATTTCTACCTACAGGGTCCACAGTCACGTTGAAGTAACCGATTTTGAAACCCTTGAAAGACGAAGCATATGGTTTAAACAAAGGCAACTCGGGTTGCCTTATTAGAGACACCCACCTTGCCAAGTCAGATGGACGTGTACAAAAGAAATGAAGAAAAAGGCCTATACTAGGTTCTATATAGTGAAATTTACAAAGTATTCTAAAGGCTTGTATTGCCGCCCACCCGTTCGAGTGTAGTTGTGTCGGCGCTACGTTCAAAACCCTCAAAACCCCCATTTGGAAGTCATCAAAGGGCAGCCTGATACCTAACTCCCTAAACATGTATTCGTACATGAAAAAAGTATCGGCCATTCTGACACCTCCAACGAAAACAAACTCTAGGTTCTTGGTCTTGTCCCCCTTGCAGGGGCTGAGGTGTATCGGATACGGGTCAGAGGCTTCCCACAGAGAAATATCACAATTATCTACAAAGAGTTGAAGACTTTTATTTCTTCTAAAACGAGAAAAGTACGCGGCCACTTCACCGTGCACCCACTCATATCCAGGTATCTTACAGGGAGGAAACACCTGTCTTTCCCTAGGGGAACTAGTACTCGGTAAGGGTTCAGAAGCGTCAGTATCACTTGAAGCTGACGACTTGGCTTCGTTGCTGCATTCCCTGACCTGTGCTTCTTCAGCCCTCCTGTTTAAAATGGATGAAACCTCGCTACTCCCCTCGGTTCCGTTCATAATGTCTACCTCGACAGTACTCGGTCCCGAGGCATTTGACAGGGAATCCTCCCACTCAATAGGTTCAGCCATGAAAGAAAAAAGTGAAAAATTGAAACGCACCTTACAAGTAGTCGGTAGGGAAGAAAAGCTGAAGATCTCTGAACACTCTTCGGTTTAGAGCAACAGTGTGCAGGTTTCGGTACAGAACAAAAGAGTAGAAAATGGATGCAGGGACCACCACATATTTATAAGAGATCTGATGTCGGGCAAATGAAAAGACGCTCTTTCGTTTTGAACCGTCAGATCCCTTTTAGATCAACAGATGAGGTGGGGCACCCTTTCGTTTCATACACCCGCTGACAAACCCTAAAAACCAACATTCTAAAATATTCCTTTACAAATTTCTTATTTTTATATTATAATTTCCTATCTCGGCCTGTATCGTTTTGTTACTAAATCGATTACCTCTTAGTATAAACCCAATACACATCATTCGTTTAAATATTACCATTACTCATCCACTAAAGGCTGAATACCCCCCTTGATATATTCCAATTTACCCTAACCAAATACCCCCCTCGGTATATTTACATTCACCCTAACCGAATACCCCCCCTCAGTGTAGGTAAAGACACCTTAACCGACTACCTATTGCAACCTTACCACTGATATTTAAAGCCTTCGCTTCATACCTCTTCAGGCTTGTGGGGCTAGTGTACTGGATAAAGATCAACTCGGTCCCACTTGTAAGAAAAGGAAACCGAGTACCTATTCGGCATAATAGGCCAGATACCCCTCGGTAGGATTGAAAGGTAATTAACCCAATTAAGGGTAATAATCAAAATATTATTTAAATCAGGAAAATGGGCCAAAGTATAAAGGCTGACTCAGCAGGCCCATCAGCCCAATACAATGCCTATAAAAGGAAGGTAGGAAATACAGTAAGGGGGTTGACTTCTCATTATTAAATAGCATTTATTGCTCAGAACCGAATCCTGACTTCAGCATCGGAATGCCTTTTGCAGGTACCCTTCCACATCAGTAGCAATTAGAGAAACGTCAGCACGTTAAAGCAGAGACTTGAAGACCCGTGTTACCCTGACAGGAACACTAGGACTTGGGCTTCAGTGTGGTACTATAGGCTCTAACATCACGGCAAGGTAATGGGACAACTAGTCTAAACAACCATTTGCCTTTTCTTCTAGTCTTCGAGTGATCTACTACAAACAGTTCAGCGAATTCTTATGATGTCATTTGTCATCTAGAACAAATAATTTGTGTGTTGGGATGATCAATTTACACTAGCGGTAATTCTAGCTCAGCCCAATGTTCCATTAATGAATGGTATCAAAACATTATAAGAGAGCGTATGACCGTTTAGTTTCACATGTTAAAGCTTTCCCATTCTGCACTCTTGTTATCTTAATGGAGGCCGTAGCGTTGCTTTAGACATCCATTCAACGATGATATCTATTCACTTCTATATAGCTAACTTGTATTGTAGGTGGTCAAAATAATGCTCACTTATCAGACATTAAAGCATTCTATTATTGATGTGAAAATATTTTAGATAAAATTTAAAGTTAATAACAGAGATATTTAAAATTTAATAATAAAAATTTACACTAATAATAATAGAAAAAAAAAATATCATTAAAAAGCATACATATTTATAATTATGTTTCACTATTAAAATATTGATTATATTAAAAATGACCATTATATTTAGAATTTAAGAGAGAGGAGTTTGTTAGGAATAAAAAAAAAACACGAAATTTTAACATAATTTGACACATATTGAAAATATATGCGTTCATAATTATACTAAGAAAATACTTATATAGAGAAAAGAAAAATATAATTTAAATATTATTTTTTTTATTAATAATCATTTTATATATAAAAAGAGAAAGAGTTTTCAAAGAATAAATTATATTTATTAATATTTAATTTATGTGAAATTTAACATCTATGATCATAAAGATAATTACATAATTTAATATTTAGTAGAGTAAGT